TCACCATTATCGAAAAAAAATTCGAAGCGTAGCGAGGATATTCGAAGGGAAAAAGTGAAATCGTTTCCAAAAAAAAAAAAAGAAAAGAGGAAAAAGAAAGTAGAAAGTTTTTGGCCAGGTAGAAGGAGGAAAAGAAAAAAACAATTTCGCCAAAAGAAATGGCAATTTCTATCGTTGCACGTTATCTGGCTCGAGAATCCTCCTTGGTATAATTTGTACTTCGGTCCACGGGGCGGCCATTCGTTCCCAGAAAACGAACGACCCTTCGAATTGCCAAGGCAATATCGGGATAAAAAAAAAAATAAGAAAAAAAAAAAAGAAAGAAAAAGAAGAAGGTCCAGCTTTTTCTGCGCTTTCACGAAAGTCTCTCCCGACTTGCTACGCTGACTTTACCCGGCTTTTATGACTCTTTCCATGTTTGGCTGGGAAAAAAAAAAGGATTCCCGGGAAATGTGCTCGCCCGTTGAATGCTTTGTGCCGGCCATGCCGACATGCCGCTTTCGTTTTGACTCGTTATTACATTCGTCCCCTCTATCCCTTCTCCTCTTCTCTCTCGTGTTCACCACGCTGGATTTTCTTTGTCCTTGTAACCAGGAAATTAATTATTTTCGAGTCAACTTCTCGTAACTTGATCGTTACTCTACTTGGAATAATTCCTCGTCGAGATTTTTACCTTAAAAATGATAAATAGAAGGATAATTTGATTATTATCTTTTGATATTCTACGTTATATTTAAAGATCTAGAAAATTTTTTATAAAAAATCTTTATATTTTTTCAAAACCTCAATAATGATTTTAATTAAATTTTTTAATTTTAATCAAAACATAAAACTTTACAAATATTTAACAATAATAACATTTAATCAGATATTAGTAACGAATAAATTTTCTTGGAATTTTATTTAAAGATCTCATTATCAGGGGACTGGAAGGAAGAGAAATTCGCGCGATAATTCTTACCCGATTGCAAATCATATTCCCCTCCTCCTGGTTTTCCAGATAAACGGAAAACTTTATAAAGTTCCCTTTTGTCGGCATCCTGCCGCCAGAGGAATTCACCAATTAACTCCACGAACCGCGTTTGGTAATTGTAGGCTGTAGCCCGAGAGCGTGCCGATTCCACGATACCGATCCAGTTCTGTGCGCGATGTTTAATCGATGGACTCGTTGCTCGTCCGACTTGTCGTTACTTCTCCCTTTGTACCCTCCCGTGAAATTCGAATTTCGCTTCTCTAGAAATCACGCCGTTGTTACCCAATCTTAAAATAGGATTTTAGCCTTGCAAATAGCCAGAGGCATAGTGCATGCATCATACATGCATTGCTAGTACATATCGCGCATCAAAGTCTCCACGGAACGAGCCAACGAAAATTGATACGCTACAAACGTATAAGATATATAATATTTCTTGTTCTTCTTAACTCTCCAGTTACGATAAAAAATTATCGAGAATTCGATCATGAATTCCGTTACTTTCACAGACGATTTGAATTTTAACGAGAATTAATAAGAAATCGTTAAATTTCTTGAAACGAATTTTTATTCTTATGGAGAAAAATTTTAAACATTTCGCTGAATGATTTGATCTATATTAAATTAAAGATTTCGATACTTTAGAATTTGTTCAAATTTTTTTGAAAAGATCAATAAAGAAATTGATTTACCTATAGCATTGAAGAAAAAATTCACAAAGATTTAATTATATATATATAAATATATTAAAACCAGAAATGAACAATTTATCTTTGAAATTTCTCTTATCCCACCGATTATTATCCGATTTCTTTCTTTATTGCTCGCGTTCTTCATCGGTGTAACCGCGTGCCGGTTTTTACGACGCAAAGTAGATCGTTAGGTTCGGTGCATGGAATATTGCCAGGAACTATAATCGCGTTATGCTGGAACAGTAGCGCAATTGCGGCGGGTGGAAGTAACGTCATCGTATCGGGACGCGGAATCGATTAGCGGGACGATAAATTACGATTTGAATTATATTACCATAT